TCTAATTTCCAAATACCATTCTTAATCCAAGACAGCCATCTTTGTTCAAGGAATAGTGGGTTATTTGCCTCATTGGTTAACCATTCATTGCCAAAGAGTGGTTGCCTCAGTACTTCGTCCTTAGATTTAGGTCTCTTTATCTTTTCAGGAATTATTTTTCTCCACACACGAAGTAGAGCCGGCCAGTAAGGCGTGGGTGGATAGTGGTCCTCTGATATGTTATTCCTTGTCCGATTTCTTCGTCCTGTGGTTATCGCCCATTCTTTGTTCATTACCCAAAAGAGGCCTGACATGTCGTCCGGGGAGGACACTGGGGCTATAGACCTGATACTGTCGAGAGCCAGTTTGTTCCATGCGCTGTTCGGTTTCATCAATACTTGGATGATCCATTTGATTTGCAGTGCTTTAGTTTCTGTTCCGGGATCGATGAGACCTAAGCCTCCATTTCGTGGGGTTCTTGTAACAAAATGCCAGGCTATCTTGGATATGCACTTATCTCTGTTGGGGTCGCCTGTCCACAAGTAACATCTGGCTTTTCGATTCAGTTCCTTGATCGAGTTATCGGGGACATGGTGGTGTATCTTTCCATCTTCTAGCAGAAGATTCACTCTCGTTTTGCACATTTCGAGAGTAGTGCAGCGAGGCCCAATATGGTGGTGCAGTGGTGCATATTTCTATGTTTGAGCGGAAGATTCATTCTCAATTTGCACATTTGGTGAGTAGTGGAGCCACGCCCTTACACTGAATTCTCCATGGAAAGATACACCACCATTTTTTTTCTTCTTTTCTGCATGTCGAGAGTAGTGGAGGGACGTCCTGTCGTTAGCCTTTTTCCACAAGGCGGGGTTTCCCATTCGTGGTTATTACTATTATTTTTTTCGTGAATTTGACCTCCTCCGCTCTCCCCCGGCCGAATTTGGACCAGTAATCTTCTCTGTATTGTTCCAAATTTCAACAGGACACAGGACAGGGCTGTGGATCGTTAGCCTTTTCCACAAGGCGGGGTTTGCCTTTTGTGTTTTTTTTTTTTTTTTTTTTTTTTTTTTTTTTTTTTTTTTTTTTTTTTTTTTTTTGTGGTGAATTTGGACCTTCCCCTCCCCCGGAATTTGGACCACTGATCTTCTCTGTATTGTTAGAACTTTTAACGGGACATAGGACAGGGCTGTGGTTATACAATAGGGCGGTCCATAGGACCACACTCTAGAAAAAAATGGACCCAAATAAATAAATAAAAGAGAGATCTGAAAGTGGTTCATGGGGCACACAACCTTAAAGAAACAGCACAGTCCTCCTCCACTTGTAGCCAAAAAAAAAAAAAAAAAAAAGGACTTGGCAAAGTGCATGCACCACTTCTGTTACCCAATCCGTTCATGTTTTCGGCTTCTCAATATTGCATACTAATTTGCTGAATTGTCAATTGTACTTCATATTTTGTATCTGTAGACCCCTGCTTAATTAGTTGACGACTGATGTGAATGAATTTGGTTTTGGTCACCTGTCATATTCAGGAAGCAGCATCTCAGAATGCCAGGCACGCTAGGGAGGAGGTAACAGCCCTTCAGAAACGTATGGAGGAGGAGGAGGCAACCAAGAAAATTGTGGATGAGGAATTAGCAATTACGAAACAGAAGCTTGAGGTGAAACCCCATCGTGTCCTCTTTTCTCCTGCTTTCAAAACTACCATGATGTAATGACCCGCCAAAACACAGACTGAGAACACTGCTGATTTCTGGGATTTGCCGCTGGAATGTATGTCTTGCTGTGATGACCTGACCAAACATGGACTCAAACACACGGCTGATTTCTGAGTTTTGCTCATAGATTGAATGCTTTGCTGAGTTTCCCGCTTGCTACTAAGTTCTCTAAGTCTGTGTGTGTGCACGCTTGCTGGACTGCATGTCTGTCTGAGTGCTGGTTGGCTTGAGTGTGTGTGTGGCCCGCAAGGGCACTTGTTCGTTCGTTGGGCCCTCAGGGCCGGTAATTACTGTGGCCGTGGCATCGAGGATTGCAGCGGGGGAAAAACACTCAAATTGCGGGGTAAGAGGCCCGCAGCACTTGAAACAGCGGGGAAACTCAAGTAGCAGGTAGGCCGGTACCACACCCTGAAGCGGTAGATGTGCCGGGTACTGGAGGCCGAGCAGAAGAAGACAAAAGTGGCATTTTTAGAGGCCCAGTAGTTGTAGGCTAGGTCTAGGCGGGTACCAGTCTGAGTCTAGGGCCTGTACGGGCAATATCAGAGTCTGCAATGATGTTTCCCTCCGAAAGGGAGGAGGTACAGGTTGCTTGGAAGGCCGAGCGGCCTGGACGTCACCGCCCAAGAGGCAAACAGGCCGCTATATCTCCAGGCCGGGCAAACAGCCCAGCCTCATTGTCGGTGTGGAAGTTTGGTGACACACTGGTTGGAGCGCTGGCTGGAGCAGCGCTAGCTTGGAGCAGCGCTGCTGGGGAAGAAGCGAGGACTCGGAGGAGGAAGAAGGACAGGAAGGGGGAGGAGCGCCAGAGTTACTTACCTGGCTATGGTGGCAGCCATCTTCATCACGTTGGTGGGCGCTGCCGCAGGAAGGCCCCAGTTGGGGTTGAGCTACACCAAGAAGCTTCGAGGCAGAGTCAGGCATGGCGGCCTGAGCTAGAGCAGCCATAGCTGCTTTGGGTTGTCCTTTGGGCACCTGGGCAAGGCCTAGTAGTCCGCCATAGCCTCGGCCTATGGGAGAGGCGGCCATGGCTATGGTGGACCTCAAGTGATACCTGCAGTAGAAGAGGGATTCGGACTTTGATTCTGGTTCAGCTATTCAACATTGTATTATTATTTCTTGTGTGAATAAGAGAGGAGGAGATAAGGAGGAAGCGGGGGTTGAGCGAAGAAGAAGAGCTTTATCATTTGTCTATGCTGGTGTACATCATTTTCTTCTTCTTTCTTACTTCTTCTTCTTCTTCTAGCCTTCTCTCTCCTCTCAAGTTCATTCATTTCTTTCTGCAATTGGACGACATTGTACTATCTGATGAATGTGTATCTCGAAATTGGCCAGGATTATAACATTGGTATCAGAGCGGATTCTACTTGCTGGTGAGAGTTGACTTTGCTGCCCTAAACCGAACCTAAGTGGTTGAAAGCAACACTTAGGGTTAGGGTTCGATGTAAGGGAAGTGGGCCAGCGTGGCTGAGGGAAGCTGCCCCCACCTGGTTAGGTCATGCGGGGTCGACATTGAACCTACCCAGGTTGCTTGAGAGTGAGATGAGGGTGGCAAGGCATTTTGTGGAGACTTCATGCGACAACTTGAGAGAGGCAACAGTGAGAGGCACTTGCACCTGGAATCTGATTCAAGGGAAACACTTGGCAACTTAAGGGCTGCCCTCAAGTAGGCGAACTTGAGGGTCAGCGGCCATTCAGCATCTACAGACTGCAAGTTGCTACTTTGTTCTCCAGCATCGGCGGGGGACACGACGTTGCACTTTGGTGTTGGAGTCAGACCCTCCTAGGAGATAGGACACTAGTGTAGGGGTAGCGTTAAAGGGGTCAGGAGGATCATATGAGAGGGGGGTGAGTTCTATTCATCTCGAAGCTCAGGCCACTCAGGTAAGTGTCCTGCACCTACGGGATGCCCATGTATGTGTGCATGGTATTGATTGTCCTGCTGGGGTTATTATGGGTTTCTTTCCTACTCCTCTATGGTCTTTATTGTGTGAACTACCTACTCACCTGATGGATGGAGAAACAAAGTATCTTGATTTCCCTACACTATTAAAATCGCTAACGTGACAAATCTGAAGTCCGGGCCGTCGTCGGTCCTACCGGCCCACGGCCCAGATCTACCGAACCATGTAACAAATCTGCCATCTGGGCCGTCGAGTCCTACCAGACCGACGGCCTGGATAGATGTGGTCTTAAGATCTTAGAACCACGCCGAGACCAGGCCGTTAGTCCGGACCGACGGCTCAGATAGACGCGTTGAGTGCCGTGGGGTACGACCGGAGTTCACGACGTCGGGCCAACCAAACTTTCCCGTTGGACTGGCCATTGTCGTGCAGCGCCCTCAGTCCGTTGTATTCGGTGTTGTCGTGCTTCTGCTGTTGTCGTGAAGCGCGCCGTGTGCCCGGTTGTGAAGCGCCCTGTCGTGGAGAGAGAGTTTCTCTCTCTCTCTCTCTCTCTCTCTCTCTCTCTCTCTCTCTCTCTCTCTCTCTCTCTCTCTCTCTCTCTCTCT